CGAGCAGATCTGGTGCGCGATGCTGAAATCGGCTCCGGTGTGAAGTGGTGAATGAGGGGAAAAAAGGTAGATCTAGCTTTGGCGGGAGGGAAGAGAAGCCCAACACAAACATCTACCAAGAGGGGAAGAAAACCTCCCATAGAGGGAGAGAAGTGGGAAGACAAGCTCCCATAACTTATTTACAGTAACCAAAAGACAAAACTAGGGAGAGGAAAAAGGAGGAGGAGGTGGCTGGCCACCGATGGCCCCTCCCCCTCCCCAATTCCGACGGAACCCTAGAAGAGTTTAGAGAGAGAGGCTCTTGGTTGAGAGAGAGAGAGATTTTGTTCACCTCCCGTCTTTATTTGTATTGGAGAGAATTCATTTCTTATAGAAATTAGATTTGTACGAGAAAGAATCCATTTCTTTTAAAAAATTTGAACAAAAAATTTATTTATATAACATTACTTGTAAAAAAAAACTAATAAAAAAGATAAATTAAGATCTAAATATAAGTTATTACAACGAAGTCACAAATATTCCAAGTCATCACAAATGATATCATTTAGGTTGCGTTTGGTTGAAAGATTTTGGAAGAGATTTGAAAAGGAAAAGAGAAAAGATAAATAAAATATGAATAAAATATATTTACATTTCATCTAATTTCACATATATTTTCTTTTCTTTTCTTTTTTAAATCATTTTCCAAATCTCCCCAACCAAACACAACCCTAATACATTTTACAATCAAAGACTTCAGATATCAACAAATCAAACAAAACACTGAGACACACTTACACCTTGCTTGGATTGCCGGATGCAAGGTAAGAAAATTAAAAAAAAATGATTATAATATTTTATTTAAGTGATTTTTTTTTTAAAATATGCTTTGTCACAATTATATTTGGATAAAAAAAAAACGTACTTGAAATTAACATATGAGTGAAAATTCTTTTACCTTTTTTGTATTTTAATAGATAATTTCAGTATTACAAAACTACACAACTAATCAATTTGTTTAAGTTATATTTAAATCATGAATTTAACAGAAAATTTAAAAAAAGAAAAGAAAAAAAAAATGAATGAAATATAAATTATTTTTATTTTTATTTTTCTCTTGTTTTTAAAACTCTGTCCAAATTTCAGATCTAAACCCAAATAACCTCATTACTTTTTGGTAAAAAAATGAGTAATTATAAATTAATATTGTATTTGGATCGTCAATTTGAATAAATATTTAAAAAATAGAGAATATTACTTAATAGTTAGATAGAGAAAGAAAATACACAAATATTTCACTTGCACCCCACTGTAGATTCACTTGCATTTCTATGTTTTTGTAATTTTTTTCTCTGTAGCACTATGAAGTAATTCTCCTAAATATATATATATATAAGATAATTCTTGAGTGTGCAAGGTATAAAGTATGCCATTTACTTATGTATTTTTGTGACTCACATTATACATTTTTGTGAGAACTTACAACACACTTTATGGGTTAATTTACACAAATTTGTGTTAAGTTATGATTCACTTGCATTTCTATGTTTTTGTAATTTTTTTCTCTGTAGCACTATGAAGTAATTCTCCTAAATATATATATATATAAGATAATTCTTGAGTGTGCAAGGTATAAAGTATGCCATTTACTTATGTATTTTTGTGACTCACATTACACATTTTTGTGAGAACTTACAACACACTTTATGGGTTAACTTACACAAATTTGTGTTAAGTTATGCGATTTTATGAGGTGATTTACGTATATTTTACACAAATTTGTGTTAAGTTATGCGATTTTATGAGGTGATTTACGTATATTTGTGCAAATTTATGCCAAATTATGATTTCTTAAATTTTTATGGGTTAACTTATCTGAATTTATATTTAAGTTATATAATTTTGTGAGATGACTTACGTATGTTTGTGAAAACTTACGTTAATTTGTGATTTCTCAAAATTTTATTAGTTAGTTTATACGAATTTGTGTTTAAGCTACATGATTTTATAAGATAATTTATGTATTTTTGTGACAACTTACACAAATTTACATACCTCTTTCACTTCCTAAATAAATTATTATTTTTGTGACAACTTACACAAATTTACATACCTCTTTCACTTCCTAAATAAATTATAACTATATTTTATTCATATTTTACATTTTTTTTATATTTTTAAATGGGCTTTGGGTTCATAACTCCAATTTTGAATTTCTTAAGTCTCAAAGTCTACAGACTAATTTACCGTGTCCATAAGGGCAAGCTTCACTGAAATGACCAAACTATCCATATATATATATATATACACACGTGTACACCTCTCTTTTCTCTTCTCTAAGGGGTTTTTTGGAAAGTGGTAGATTAGTATACTTTTTGACTTTTTACAAAAAAACGTGAAATATGGATTGTGTTTGAAGTGATATAGTAAAGAAGTAATGTGACCCAAATAAGATGATTGTGACCCAAATAAGATAATGTGTTATTTTAGCATATGCTAAATAAGCACTAATTTTTTTGGATCAACCCTCTACTTTGTCGCAGATCTCTCTCTCTCTCTCTCTCTCTCTCTCTCTCGGGTTTCATTTTCTCTCTCTACTCTTCTCTCACTCTCCGTGACTGTCACTACCGCCATAAGTGGCGGTGGGCGTCAGACACCATCCTTGGCAACACAATAAGTGCCGAATAGACACCAAGAACAAACTTTGAATCATCACCTACGGCGGAGGACTATCAAGTCGATGACACGATCATGCTTTGCAGTGTTGAGCCAGCAATGGTGACGCGGGAATGATGTCACTATCGACCTCAGCTTGGATTTCGCACACCGACGAAGATCACTCTCATCACCACCACCATCTCTCATTCTTCTCTAACATCTTCACCACCACCTCTGTCACTGCCGCATTTGCATATCTTAGATTTGCCCCTCATTTATCTTTGGATCCAGAACCATCAATTCGCCATCGTCTTCTCATTATCTTTCCTCTTGTTGACTTTATTTATTTATTTATTGGATTTGTGAAGTTTAACTTTCCTATTAGTCATATAAGATATTTAAGATCTAGATTTACAGTTTGCTGATATGGTTGTTGTCGATGCATATAATGATGATTTGTTGTTGTTCGTCCTTTAATTAGAACAATTGAGATTTAAAGTTTTGAAGTTTTAGATTTTTCTTCAAGACAAACATAGACCAATGTCGTTACCTAAGTTTGATTATTAATAAACACATAATTGAACTATCAAAATAGGTTGGCGGGAGTGGAGTAGTATTTTTTTTTTTAACAAATAGATATAAAATTGAACAAATAAATAGAATTTAGGAAAAAAATTAAATAGATAGATAAAATTTATGAGAAAAATTAAACAGATAGGGGAAAAAATTGAATAGATAGTCAAAAAATTTGAAAAGATAGACAAAAAATTAAGCAGATAGTCAACGAAAAGTCAAACAAATAAAAAAAGTAAGAGGTAAAATTGAAAACAAAATGTGTTTCTAGGATTTCTCACTAAACTATTTCACAAATTGTGAATTTCTCACTAACAAAACAATTCACTAGTCCTAATGCCATATATCATCCTTAAATTAGATTTATCACTAATTTTCTCTTATTAAATTTATACAAAAATCTATAATCACAACCTCCAGTATATTTTGAGAAGGCATTGACTTCCCTCTAGTCTTAGATCAGACTGGAGGATACTGTTGGGTTCGTGGAGGCTCATCACGGGTCCTATTTCGATAATTCGAATTGCTCAATATGTAGAATTCGTCCAATACTATATGTCTGTAAAAAATCACGTCGATCGGATATCGATAACTATCTCATCGGATCATTTTTCTGTCAACTATTTATTTTTTCACCGTCTATTTTTTTTTATACAAAACTGATTTGATCACGTAACTATCGATATCCGATTAACGTGATTTTTATAAACATATAATGCTCGACGAGTTTTACATATTAAACGATTTGAATTATCGAAACAAATCCTATGATGAGCCCCACAAGCCCAACAACGCTCTTAGTCCGATCTAGAACTAAAAAAAAGCCAGACCCTTTTGAGAATTATCTGTCCCACAATTACTCATCACATTTATAAATGAAACGACGTTTCTATACTTCCTCGCCAAACCACTCATCCAAGTGGGTGATTATTCTGTATTTGAGGAATAGGATTACGTGGTATTTTATGATAATAGTATGTTATGATTTACGGTAATGCTACTACGTATATTAATTAATATATTAATTAATGTACTAACAGTAGTTATGATATTATTATTAATCTTATTTATTATATAAATTATAAATATAAAAAATATCTTAAATTATGTTACATTATCAATTGGTACACTAGTTAGTATACTAATTGGTGCATATAATATTATTTTATGACTGATGAAAAAAAAAATATTTAGTGTATTTTGTTTGAGTTTTTTAGATTAAATTTTTTAAAAACTAAGTTTTCTGGTTTTAGCGTTTTTTTGTTTTTAGTGGATATTTTTGAAATTTTAAACATTTTTTTTTACTTTTTTAGATGCATCTTACTTAGATGTATCTAACAAGTAAAAAATTTGTAAATAAATATTTTAAAAAATTAATAAATATATAACAATACAAAAAAATATACAGAATTCTCGTTTTTTGTTTTATATTTTTGGAATTTAGTGAATTTTTAAAAGATTTTTTTCACAATTTTTTTATTTTTAGGTATATTTATGTTTAATATGTCTAAAAATTAAAAAAATTACTTAAAATATTAAAAAAATTCAGTAAAAAAAAACATAAAAAATAAAAATAATTAGTGAATTTTTAAAAGATTTTTTTCACAATTTTTTTATTTTTAGGTATATTTATGTTTAATATGTCTAAAAATTAAAAAAATTACTTAAAATATTAAAAAAATTCAGTAAAAAAAACATAAAAAATAAAAATAAAAAAATTTCTAAAAAAGGTTTTTTTGAAAAGTTGTAACCCAGCACAGTGATTAATTATTTAGGTTTCAGTAATTAAAGAATGACGGATCGTAATGAATGAGGGGAGATTGGTGAAGAGTAAGGTGACGTCATATTGCATAATTTTCCGATCCAAGGCACCCACATGATTTCCAAACGATTTTGAGAGAATCAGGCAAAACAATCGTCTCTAAATTTTTTATCTGAGCGATTCTTGACCTGTGGATCGCAAAGTTTAGAGACAACAGAGGTAAGTGATTGTAGTTGTTTTCTCATCTTGCTGTTTTTTGCTTGATCCAGTCAAAATGTTCGATGAAATGCCTAAGAAAAACCTTATTAACATGTTGAAAGCTTTTTTGCTGTTTCTCCTAATCTTTTTCCTCTGTTACTTACCGGTGTAAAGATGTTTGTTTGTTTGTGTTTTTCAATTTATACAATTCACTCACTTTCTTTACATGAACCAGCGAGCACATAAGCAAGAAATCCATCTGTATCTCTACTTTCACATGTGATAGTGTAATCATGGTCAAAAGAGGTAAAGATGACCGACATGACAATAGATTTTGTAGAAGCCCTCTACAAATGTTTTTCTCTCACCTTATACTATTTGATCTCGACTTAGAGACAAGGATACAGTAAAACTCATTCCAAAATTTTGCTTAGATGTATATGATAAAAAATTCCTATAATACATTTTCCCACTTTTTTACTAAGCATTTTGGCAAATTGAACATCCTGTAATCTTGTAAAAACAGGGTTTTCTGCCACTTCCGGTGTCCAGTTCTGTTCCATCTACCCATAGGTAGATTTTGTTTATGGATCTAGGGGGATGCTGCCACCTCCTGTGGATGCTGTCACTTCCGGTAGATGCTGCCTCGCTCCTACCCCTTACCCTTCACTAACTCTGTCCTCCCTTTCTCTGTTTCCTTTTCTTTTCTTCTCTGCTGCTGTGTTGTTGTTGTTGTTGTTGGTTTTTTTTATTTTTTATTTTTATTGCCTCCCTGTCAACATGGGTTTGTGGTTTTGCTGTGTTTTGTGTCTCCTTTTAAAGGTACGGCTTACTGTCTCATTATCCTTAATTCGATTTCCATTACCTTGTTTCTGCATTTTTTCCCCAAATTCTGGGGTTGTATTTGGCCGTGTAGTTGATGCCCTAGATTGGTGCAGTGCTATATTGTGAGGTGATCCGGTTGTACTGGTGTCAAGTTTCCTTGGCTTTGGGGTGGGGGGTGTGATCCTCCTGTGATTCTCTTGTTTGATGAGTGCTTAATATGTCGGGGTATTTCCATTGTCCTCCTATTGGAATGAGTGTTTGACTGTGGCTAGTTCTGGTATAAATTTACTGAATGCTTCGGGGTCTATTCGGACTGTGGCCAGTTTTAGTATATTGATGCGGGATGCTTCGAGGTCGCTTCACTTTCTTCTCTCTGTTTTGTTTTTTGATTTGTGTTGACTGTGGCCAATATTTAACATGACTCTTCAGGAGAGGTCCTTTTTTTTTTTTTTTTTTTTTTTTTTTTTTTTTTTTTTTTTTTATGTTTGTGTTGACTGTGGCCAATATTTAACATGACTCTTCATGAGAGGTCTTTATGAGGATGGCACTTTACTGCTTACTAGGATAGCGAGTACCCTTATAGGGCTACGTGTAAACACAAGTTGACGGGTGTCGACGGATTTGTGAAGGCGATTTGGGTGATAGATGTGCTTTATTTTTCTATTTCTTACCCATTTCATTTGTTTTATCTATTGATTAACTTATTTGCCTATGAGCATGTTAGTTCACCTAGCCTCTCGGGTTGTGAGAGATTTATCATAGTAGGTTAGGTGTACTATTTCGTTCAAGCCTGTGGCTTGGGTGTCTTTTTGAAGTTGTGTTGACCCTTGGGATTGTGTATTGAACATCATTATAATCTCTTTTTTCTGGTATAAAATTAACTGCTTTCCTACAAATAATAATAATAATAATAATAATAATAATAATAATAATAAATTAAAAAGAAAAATTAAAAAGACTTAATACTATTTGGTTGACGAAGGGGCGACCGAATGTTGCCTTGAGGTTAGTGAGGAAGATGGATTTGGAGGAGCAAATACTTTTTTGACAAATAACTTCATTAAACAGAAATATGAGGTACAAAAATGTCTGAATATAAGAGGCTCCAATACGTCAAGAGTACAAAACATAGTCTGAGCACTGTGGGCGTGGGGGGCTCTCAGGGTACAAACATCTATGAGCAAGAGAAGAAGCAACATGCTTTGCCAAAGCATCTGTAGCAAAATTACGGATGGATATTGATGAACAGCTCTTGAATCCTTATGGTGTCTATTGCCAACAGAATTAGTTTGGGGCTAGCTTCAGAGGCTTTCTGTATGCTCGGATGGATATGGAAGAAGAGCTTATCATGCTTGATATTTCTTCTAGCTTTGAGGTGTCGGTGTCTGTGTTTTATGTCTCTATCATGTTATTATGGATCAACTAATTTGGGGGTAGTCTAGTTGGCCCTTTGCTGACTCTAGTAGGTCTCTTCTGATTTATGGTTTTAGTGCTTGTATATCATTAACTTCTCTCCTTGTGGCCACCTAGTTGGGATGGGGTTTGTTTTGCCATGATGCATTTTGTACTTAAGCCATTTTGTCGTAATTTGGGGTGTTTTGGGTGTACCTTAGTTAATTACATCAATAAATTTTCTTTTTACTAATCAAAAAAAAAAAAAAAAAGTATCATTTTTTGAATGAGTTGGTTAGTTGTGCATCCTGGGCTTTTGCTTTCATTTAAGAATTGGAGCATTTCAGAAATGGAAAACAAGTGGGGATATTTGTTGGAGCTTTTGGTAGAGATCTGATGGATGACTTTGGCCCCGTTTGGTAGAACTGTGAGAAAGTGATTATAGCTTATAACTGTGAACATAAGCTGATTTTTGACTTATAAATTAAGCTTCTCTCCCCCCACTCAAAGAATAAGTTGATTTTTGACTTACAAAAAGCTATAAGCTGTATTGCTAAGCTGAACTAAACACATCAAAATAGCTTAAATTAAGCTAAAAGCTGAAATAAGTTGCAAATAAGTCCTACCAAACAGGGCCTTTGCTGTGGTGGAAAAATTAGCAATAGTATCCACGAATAAGCCATTTGGAAGTTCTCTTCTTGCTTTAGTTGAAGGATGAAATTTTTGGTCCATTAGTAATTCAAGTGGTTGGAGGTGGCAGTAGAGGGAGTGGGTTAGGATTTTCACATGGGTTACAGGCATAGAAGATGAAGACAAAGACAATAATGTCCTTTGCATTAAAATTTGACTTTGAGTAAAAAAAAGAAAAAAAAAATTCTTGTCAACCCTCAAAATGTGTGTAAATTTGGATGGAATTTTTAACAGTAGCCATGTTAACATGGACTCTTATAGTACATGAACTTGGGTATGAATATTGGGTGCGACTGTGTGGGTGAGTGTCTTAGCACCAAACCTTCATAAACCTAAAACTTAGGATATTTGGATGTTTATCCAAAACTTAGATATGGGTACACAGATGTGTCATGGACACTTGCTTACAGTACATGTTGTATCATGTTTTTAGATAAGATATTGTAAATTATGTAGAAATGTACTTGAAATGTATAGGATTTAGAAAAAAATATAGAATTTTGATCTCTCATTCATGTGAGAGATTAGAAATATTTATTTACTAGCAAATGTGGGTTTTTTCTTCAGACATCATAAAAAGTTAGAAGGTCTAAGTGTCTCAATTGTGTACGGATATCAAACACATGTCTCACATCCTTACCATTATCATAGTTGAGGTGCGTGTAAACTGGTCCGGACACCCGGTCATAAAAAAAAATAATAATAATAAAAAAATAATCGATGACACGGGTACTAAGTGTTTTGTGGCCATATTATACGGCAGGGGTGCACGTGGATTGTTTTGTGGCCATACTATATGGTAGGGATGTGCGTGGTGCAGTTCGGTGCAGTTTGAGTGTAAAATTATAAACCAAACAATAAATGGCGGATTAGCAAATAACTATACCACGGTTTGAACGATTTGGACAGTTTCAATTTGTTAGTTAATTGAAGAATAATCTTAAACAATTATCAAGCATTTGTATAATGCATAACACTAATTTGCATAATATTTTTTTATATATAACACTAAGTAAGCTTACATAATATTTTTCATATATATATAACATTAATTTTCAACAAATTCCACATCTTAAATCACTCTTTCACTAATTTTTATTTTGATATTTCATTAGAGGTAAAAAAATATATATATATTAACTTATAGGGGAGCAAAGCGGTTTCAAAGGGGGATTATAAATTTCGAACCGGGGTTCAAACTAACCCCACGGTCGGATTGGTGCGGATTGGACAGTATTTTGCACGGCTGTACTATATGGGATAAATTGGATTTTGTCCTAAATTTTACTTCTTGTTTATCAAGTATTAATTTAACACTAATGTTTATTAGTCTCTTAAAATATGAAATAGTACTTCTGATTTTATGGTGTCATACTTTGTTTGCTTCTCCTATTCCTTTTTCTTTTTGGAGGTGGCTAGGATGGCAGCTAGTGGGACTGCAAAGATCCAACAAGTTGGAAAACCCAGTAAGACATACTCAATGAAAGGAAAGGAAATTGCATCAAGAAAAGGAAAAACAAGGCCCCCACTTAATTTCCTATCGATTTTGCATAATGCAAAGAAACTGATCGACACGTCTTGTCCTGATAAGCTGTGTAAGCAGCTCTACACTGGAGTATTCTTAGAAGACGAGAAACTGGCAAGTCTATATAGATTTTCTCCCACATCTTAGATGAACCGATGGAACTTTTTATTATTATTTCAGAATCAGTATATATTTCATGTTTCATAGTGATTCTCTATGATATATTTATCTATTCCTTGAACCTTAACTATGTAATGAAATATATGTAATGTGCCCATATATAATATTGCGTGCGCATGTAAAATATTTATACTACACCAAAATAAACTTGTGCTTTTATGTTTAATAAATCCTGAAATTGTTTATATTCAAAATTTTGATGTCAAGATGATTTTGTTTTCATTTTTTCTGCAAAATAGAAAATATGTAAACAAAAATGTATTATTTGAGGGTGTCAATGATCAAGATCATGATTTATGGTACTTGACATAATTTCACAATATATATAGGTATATATAGCAAGTTGTACTATTTACAAACACCATAAGTTGGAGTATGTACAAATTGATCTTGTCTGGTGTAGCTTCTATGTTTTCATTATCAATTTTTAGCTTGTTAGAAACTATACCAAGCAGGACCAATATCAATTGTATTGTTCATGATATTGTAGGAACTATTTGAAAGCATAGTGTACTAATAAAGTTAGGGGTTTTAAGGTTGTTTGGTCATTTTGTTATTCTTAGGTAAGGATGTGTATAGTTCGGATTATATTTATGTAAGGGTATGATTTAATCTTACAAGGATTTTAGGATTCAATTCTATGAAAAAATAAAGTTTGTGACAACTTTGCAATACAAGTTTTTTTAGATCTGTCTTGTCATCAATGAAAATTGCCTTTATCTTTTACATATGTTCTTTTGAAATCCGTAAGGTTTGCATGACTATAAAGCACCTATGTAGAGGCTTTTTCTTTGTTTCTCTCTAACAAACTTCAACTTTTGATCGAAATTGAGAAATTCAAAGTAATTCTAGAATTAATTGCGTTCTCAATTGTGTCATGTTTTATACGTGTGTTGTACTCTTCTTAGCACAGCAAATAGTACAGTTATCTATTACATTTAAGTATGGATAGTTGCTATTGTTATTTTTATTTTATTTTCCATTGTTGTCATTATTTATTGCTATTCATGCATGTTTTTGTTACTTAAACTGCAGAAGTATTTTGTCGACGAGAACACAAACAAGAATTGCTTCATGCTTTTTGCAAGGAAACTTGATATCTGTTGGATTGATAATCCTAAATATTGGGAATGGACCAAAGAGGAGACAAGGTAAGTGAAATAATATGTATAGCTTAAGAACTTCATGTATTGTTATCTTTAAGGCCACTTAAAGTTTAATCAATGAGACTGATCAATGGCATGATAAGAAGCAATTGGGCTTAACCAATGTTACCAGAAAATGCTAAATACTCTAGTGATTTATGTTTCGGAACATGGGTCCCGAAATATGGTTTATTTTTGTTCAAAAACAATGAATTTAGCAATTCAAAGCAATCCCAAATTTATTTCCTTTAAAAAAAAAACCCAATTATAATGAATTAATATCTAAGGAGAGTGGAGTTTTGGAATGACCAAAAAAAAAAAAAATACGAGGATGAAAATGCGCTTAGAAATATGTTTGTGCGTGATGAATTTAAAAAAAAAATATATGGGCTATAGTTTATTGGATGTCTAATTGTTTAAAAAAAATTCTATGGAAGTACCGTAACAGTGTAATCTATATAATTTCTATCATACCACATTTCCGTTTCTGATTCACATATTGGAACATTTGTTGATGAAATGGGCAAACTATTTTTCTTATTTTACATGGAAAAATAAGTTTACTATGGATATGGGGATATTTGTGGTCGTAAAACTTTTTGTTTTCTTCTTTTCCGAACATGGACAGTTTTAAACACGGACAGTTTACATGGTTTTGCATGCAGTGGTGAAGAGATTGAAGTGGCTGAGCTAATAGAGGTATGTTGGTTCGATATTAGAGGGAAGTTTGATAGAACAATTGATCTCTCACCAGGAGCAATGTATGAAATTGTTTTTGTCGTGAGGATGATTGATGACGATGTGTACCAGACTCATATATCAAATTGTACAGTGACGCTTGTCATGATTCTCCCGCGTTCAAGAACGCAACGTAATGAAAGTTTAGAAGGAAAGCCTGTAGAAGAATGGTTTGAGATCCTGGTGGGTGAGTTTATCATGTCACCAGAAAACGTTGGAAGCGTCGAATTCTCCATGGAGGAACATGGTCCAGACTGGAAGGGTGGGCTTATTGTGAAAGGTGCTCTCATTCGACCCAAGGTGTAAATAACTTTAGGCACTTGGATGGTTGGTAAACTTCTCTATATCCCAAGAATATCCAATGCAATTAATGTGAGAACATGTGTAGTGGAATACGTAAGCAAATTATTATTATTATTATTATTATTATTTTGTAGAATGCTTGTATGATATATTTGTCCTAATTTTTTGTATGAGATTGCATGGATTCATGGGTCTATACATATTTGAGTCATTAGAATTTAGTTTGTGTGATTCAACTAACAACTGCTATGCATTATGAAAATTTATCTGAATTTTAATCTGAAAGTGAGTGTGGTGTAGATTTAAAATTTGTGAGATGTGGGGAGGGGTGCCGTTGAGATGTAGCTCCAGTTTAGGAGCTCCAGGTTGGTTTAGATTGAGCTCTTGGTGTCCCAAACTCAGTTATGGCTTGGCTTACCCTGCCTCTGATGGAAAGAGGTACGTTGCCCATGCATGACAGAAGCAACCCGATCCAATCCATGGATACACCAACAAGAGAGCCTACCCAAGACAAGCCCCAGTCCCATAGCAAGCGAGTTCTAATAAATATAGACCATTGATTTCTTTTCATAGATAATTTTTGAATAATTTCTTTTGGATATGGAACTGTTGCTGTTCAACCAAACCTGATTGCCTTCCTTTGTCTCTCTCTCTGTGTACATATATAAGTACATCCAATTTAGTACTCAATAGATGCAGGGCTAAAGAGGGTCAATATGAGGTTCAGTTGACGTAATGTGTTAGTTTATGTGGTTTTCAAAATTTTAGAAATAAGATTTTCATTTCTTTTATTTTGTTTTTTTGTTGGGTAAATCACACTTAGCACCTTTATACTTTGCCAACAATTTTACATGCTAATCTCAGGCGAAACCCAACATAAGCAACACTAACGCTGTGTTCGGTTGGAAAATTTGGGAAGAGATTTGGAAAAGAAAAGAGAAAAGGTAAATGAAATGTGAATAAAATATATTTATATTTCACCTAGTTTTATAAATTTTTTCTCTATTCTTTTCCAAATTCTTTCCCAAATCTCCCAATAAAAAACGGCGGAACAGCATCAAAACTAGAACATGAATACCATGCAATTCAGAAAGCATGGGAAACACTTGACATGCAAACAAACAACAAACTTGAGCCATCTAGCTGAACCAGACAACACCCAAATAATTATGGGACGTGGGAAACAGTTATAACCCGTTCGACTATTACTAGATGGCCAAGAAGTTGCAAATGAGGAGTGTTGTGACTATAAATAGTAGTTCAGATGAAGAAATGAGAAGCAAATTCCATCCAGACGTAATTCAATTACTTTATTTTCTTTGTTTGCCTTTCCTTTCCAAATAAGAGTAGTTATAGCAGTAACATGAACAATAACAAGATTAGGAGTAGATTCAAATACTTATAATACTAAAAGTGATATACTTGGAAAGAGTAGAAGTAAAAGTAATGGTGAAGTACATTTCTCTCTCTTGTAATTGTATTGACACTCCAAAATGAAATTTATTTCCTTTCCTTTAACTTTTTGTATTCAACTTTCTTCTCAAGTGGTTTCATTTGACACTTTAATGGCGTATGAAGTGTTTGAAGGGGTAGATGGGTTAGGTTTTGAGTGGAAGGTAGAAGATGAAGCTGGAGGAGAAGAAAAAGGTATTATGTCTTTTAACAAGCAGCTATAACAATTACATAATGTTGTTATGTAATAGTTACTGTTATCTGTTATACCCGTTATAGCGATGTCATTGATACCTAAATATTACATATTTAACCTGTTAATATACACTTTATTAATATTAATTTGTATTATTTTATAATTTTGTATGATTTTAAGTATTTGTATATATTTTGTGTGCTTCTATATAAATTGTTTTAAATAATATTTTTTTAGGTATTTTATATTAATAAACTAATAAAGAAAATAATAAAAAAATAAAGGGCAAATTACATATACCTTCCTTGAGGTTTAGCTAAATTACAGATATCCCTCTGAGGTTTCGGAAATTACAGATACCCCCTGAGGTTTATATTTTCATAACAATTTGCCTCCTAATTTGTTATGCAAATAGTATCTTCAGGGGTATCTGTAATTTTTCAAACCTCAGGGAGTATCTATAATTTTGCTAAATCTCGAGGGGTATATGTAATTTGCCCAAAAATAAAAGAATCACATAGTGCCGCACTTGGCGACACTATGATTCAAATCACCACATCTTCCATTCTTTCTTTCTTTTATATTGCTTATTATTTATTTGTTCTGCAGGTTGTGCGGATCATCACCCACTTCACTTTTATTTATTCAATTGATTTGCTTTTGCAGGTTGTCATTCATGATGGCATTGAATTATTGAAACTTTGCAGCAACCTATAAATTGAGCAAGCATTCGGAAGAGGGGGAGTTCGGGCAGGGGGCAGAGAGTAGAAGGCAGAGAGCCGAGAGAGTAGTTCATATTTCTTCTTTCAATTTGTGTAGTTAATTATGAGTAGCTAAATATTTTGCCAAGGTGAGTGAACTCACAAGAAGTGTTTGAAGTTTGCCAATTATTCTTCATTGTTTTAATGTAAGATTTTATTTTATTTTATTTTATTGGTTATTTTATTTGAAAAAGTATTTCTGTATAATTCTTTGATTTATCGTTAATTCCGGATACGGTGAATGCTTAAAATTCCTTGCGAATTAAATTACTAGTGTTGACATGTTAAACCAATCAAGTTTTTATGAAATCATACGTTGGAAAATATTTTTCATGAACTAAAAATTGTTAAACTTACCGGTTGGGGTCAACTTTCGTATAAATCTCAATTGAGTTATAAAATTAGAATTTTTAGCAAACACCATTCAACTTCTTGTGTGTGAATTTCCAAACCTAGTTTCATTAAAAATTTTATAAACAATCACATTAAATCTTCGGTGACCAACTCAAACTCCGCATCAAACCAAAATTTCATAAACTCTTAGTATTCTACGAGTGACATGGTCAGAGTAAATGCCAGAAATTTTTTCATTAATCATGATAGAGGTTACATTAACATGAAACCATTCTCTCATTTTTAGGGACATTGCATCTAACCAACTACTATCCCCATTAGTTAATATAATACATGGAATTCCTCCTCTAATAGTGAAATCTGGTTGGAATTTAACAAATAAATGGAAATCTCTCTAGCAACCTACTAAAGTTTTCATGGATTGTCGAGTATTTGATGTCGTCTATGACATTGTAGACGGTGTCTTGATCGTAGTCCTTGAAGCTTATTCTGCCATGACAAGTATGTAGTATGGCTGACAGGCTAGTTAGAGAAGGGATTGAAGGAGATCTAAGAGTTGTTCTTTTGGGTATGAGCATTGTGGGTAGGTGAGGAAAACATTCTTGGCATAAAAACGAAAAGAGGCTTGGCGGGGCATTTTGTAGTGGTAAACAATGAACTTACACCAGCCGTACAAGGCCTCCCTATTAGTTAAAAAACCTGGTGTGAATGGTGTTAGTGGTGTGACTGGGGAGGTGCTGTATTAATATTACCAGTGCCCCCCTCTCTTGCTGATCTGGGCCGTCCATTGTTGTACTTATGGACACGTGTGTGGATGATGTTAAAAGGAAGTCACACTGGGGCCCAGGTGTGAGTGGTGTGAGTACTTTTGATTCCTTTGCCAGATAGTGTTATACACGTGTCACATTTCTGGTGGTTTGCTTGGTTGTAAAGCAAATATTCTTGCAGAATGATAAACATAAAGCAAAAGCGGGAAAATAAACGTGTTTGAATAATTTTGAATTGGGAATCTTCGTCCTTACACGCGGGCCAATTTGGCTATTTATTTAGTACCAGAAAATATTTTTTGATAGAGAAGAATATGCTTTTGCAGTGGGATAACTATTGTGGTGAATTTGTTTTCTGGTACCTTGTTTCGTCCCTCCTTTTCAGTCTTTTTTGTTTGTTGATTGTTTTGGTATACAATGTTGTACTCCTTAGAAGAGTATCCCGAGAATTACAGGCAGTTCACTCAAATATGTGTAGATCATTTTTTGACGTGGCAAATAGGACTATGAGAAGAGAGCCGGTGGTCAGCTCCAGCGAAGTTTGTTCGTGGGTACGAGGAGCAGATGGAAAAAATATCAAAGCTAAAGTGTCTGAACATAAGGGTTAGTAGAGGTAAGAGAATCACTAGAATTTGTAGGATAAAAGATTTGGAGTGTTTTATAAAAAATGGAAGGAGGTATAAGCAGCTAGTATCAGACTCCCCTTGCGTACCGCCGGTCAAGGACACTGGCGGTGAGTGGGTATAAGCGGAGTTACCATGGTCGTGCACCTTTTAAGGCGACGTATGTTCATCGCCGACGGTATGTTTAGAATATTTCCCGATATATTAAGAGGACTAAGGGGGGAGTAAGGAAGTTACAACTGTACGATGAACAATTAAGGGACGTTAAATTTGATAATAAATGTGTGGCGAGATTGCTTAATGGTATTGAGTTGGGTAATAAGAGAAGTGACCATCAATCAGATAAGATCGTGGTTAAGGGTATAAAATTAATTGGGAATGTTCAATTGGGACAAGCTGCTAAAGAGGAAGCTGTGGTCCACCACGTTTTGTTTTTCATCATAAGTGATAAGAGTCTATCAGATTATGTCCCCACACCTGACAAGATATTTATTGGAGTTGGCGAGGGTAATCCCGAGACCTGGGTTGTTGATCCTGACTAGTCCGACCGGCTTCGAATGCTAAAGAAAATGAGATTCAAGCTCGTTGGTGGCAAGGACAAAGAGTACGTTTGTCACGGGATAGAAGTTGTGGACCGGTTCTTCCCAGTTGATGTTTGGACGAACTATAAAGATACGCTGTTGGAAAATGTTAGAAGTATTCAAAAGGGTGCCATATATTTAGTGGCTACTACTGTTAGTGGAAAAGAATGCAAAATTACTTTAAGGAGTCAAATGTACTTTAAAACTGTTTAGAATTGTAATTTTATGTATTTTTGTTTGTAAAGTTCAGGTTAATGGAGGTGGACGATATAAAAACTGGTGTTGTTGAAGGTGTTTCAGTAAGTGATTTCAGTTGTATTGAACTTGCTTTGCCTAATTTATTTTCTCAATTGAGGTTAAGATACAAACAAAAAAGTATTAAGGTTGATAAAATATTGATAAAAATTTTTCCCCATTTGCGCACCCAATGCCAGTGGGTTGGTCAGAGTAAATGTTTATGATCGAAGGTTAGATGGTAATGACAGTC